AAGTTTGACTGTGCCAAGTTCATAATTTTAATTTTTAAAAAAAACAAAATTAAAGTTCATAATTTTAATTTATACAAAATTAAAATTGACTTTGTTATATTATTGTCCATGAAAGATGTTTGAATATTGAGGTCACAATTCATACGAGTGGATCAGATTTTACGCATACAAATAATAATTTAGAGGGAAAAAAATGATAATGAATATGGAATAGTAGCTCAATTAGTTAGTTAATTTACGTAAATATATTAATGAATCTTATGTTATAATCCAAAACAAATTATAGAATAAGTAGTTCTGAAAAGCAAAACTGGAAAACGAAAAATGGGAGTTGCTTCAGACCGATTATCTTCCTTACCGGATTCAATTCTGTTTCACATACTCTCCTTTCTTCCCTTCGACGACGTCGTTCGGACCAGCCGTCTCTGCCGCCAATGGAGAACTCTCTGGTCCTTCTCTTCCACCCTCAATTTCATTCACCGTTCCAAGGACTTCTTTTCTGTACGAAAGTTCGTTTCATTTGTTGACAAATCCCTCATAAACTTGCACCGTAACTGCAACACTCTATTAAAGTTTCACGTTGATTTCCCCTTTAAGCGTTGTTTTACATCCGATGTTACTGTTTGGGTTCTTTTTGCTATCACCCATCAAGTCAAAGAACTCAATTTGGTTCTCTCCAATGATGATGGTGATTGCTATAATCTCCCTAAGAGATTATTGTTCAACCCTTTTCTTCGAAAAGCGAATTGGGTTTCTTGTAGATTTTACAGAGTTCCAGCTGTTCGATGGGATTCTTTAAGGGAATTGAGGATTGGGTCGATGGGATTTGGTGATGATATAGTCAGGAAAATTGTTGCTGGTAGTCCGTGTTTGGATTTGTTGGAGTTGGATAATTGTTGGGGTTTTAGGTGTTTGGATTTGTTTGGTGGAAAGGTGAGTAAGTTGGTGGTTAATGGGTATAAGGAGGAAGTGAACAAGTTCTTGGATCTTGAACTGGAAATTAAAGCACCTTGTGTTAAGGTATTGGAATTAAAGGGGTGTATTAGAATGAATATTAAGTTGAACAATGTGAGGAACTGTGTCTCTGTGAAATTTGATTTTCACTCAAAGAACCCTAAGGATGAGGAGTGTGACTACTTTTATGAACAGCGAGGAGTTATGTTGATGGCCATGTTTGAGAGTTTAATTCATGTCAAAGATGTTATGTTAGGGACATGGTGCATTGAGGTTTGTGCTATTTGCTTGATTGACTTGATCTTATCTGTATGTTTTGTTCCTTGATTGAATGATTCTCAAATATGGTATATTTGTGTGTTTTTGAGTTTATGATCACTTCCCCCACCCCATCTTGATGATTTCACAATTAGCAAGTTTAACCTCTAAGACCTTAGGTAGGAAGTATATTATTTGGTTCATATATCTGAAGCCATATTGATTGAATGATTCTCAAATATGGTATATTTGAGTGTTTTTTTGAGTTTATGATCACTTTCCCCACCCCATCTCGATGGTTTCGCAATTAGCAAGTTTAACCTCTTAAGACCTTAGGTAGGAAGTATATTATTTGGTTCATATATCTGACGCCATATTGATTGAATGATTCTCAAAATCAAATATGGTATATTTTGTGTGTTTTTGAGTTTATGATCACTTATGTGTTTTGCTTGTAAGTATCTTTTGTGTTGCAAAATCCTTTAGGGACAGGTCTAATATTATGTTCTTTGGTAATAAGCTACAAATTAGTGGGACACTCTGGTATAGTAGAAGGTTGAATACATATTGTTTAATTTTGTGCTTGGAGAATGGAGTTATTGGAGGATTGTTATATTTTTGTGGGATGGTTGGATATGTAGCTGATTGGATTTTTTCCGTTTTTCTTCCATCTTGAAGGTTATGGCATTTTTGAACTCGCCATGGGTGTTGTTTCCCATGATCGGCTGTGAGTGTTTAACAGTGCATACTCCCATACAGAAGCGATATCTCCCTGGCATTATACGCTTATTACAAAATTTACTCAAGCTTCAGACACTAATCATACATATGGCCCTACCCTATTTCGAGTTTGAGGGTTGTTTTCTGTCTGAAACATTGCTATTCACTTGCTAAGCAATGTTCCGGTTCAATCTATAAGTAGTAACAGATATATCCAAATCCTCTCTCTTTATTTATACACGGAGCATATGTTTGTGGTTTTCCATGTTGAAAATAATCAGGCAGGGCAGGGGTAGACTTATTATACTGAATATGTGTTCAATTAAACCAACCACTTTTGGCCTTATGCCATGAATATATATATGTTGAGTTCCTTGGTATATATATATTGAACTCATAATCTCAAAGAAATCTGACCCTTGAACTCTCATTAAGATTTAAGCTTGATTCCGCCAATGAACTCTAGTAGTTGCAAGTAGGGTTGTTCTTGATCTTGAGTTCCCACATTCCTTTGGCCAAAATGTATGGATGGGTAAATAAAGTACTTATGGTATGAATCTAAACATTAGAAGATATTTCCTTAACTGAACAATAAAAAAACATCATTTTTCTTAACCCGCGCATGCTCTTAATCTCAACTCATCATCTTTTCTCTCTGTTCTAATAGAGTTCCATTTGCAGGCTTGCCTTATTCCAGATGTAAATGATGTTTACTTTGTTGAAGGAAAGCTTCAACTGTCTGTGCTTCCTCAAGGTTGCGGTCATCAACTTAAAAAGATCATAGTTTGTGGCTTTGAAGGAACGCAATCTGGCCTAGAAGTTTTATTTCTGCGCGATCTTCTTTTGATATCTGCTAACATTGAGATGATGGTTATTAAATGGAAATCTGGACTCCGGAACTTAATTCGTGATGCATCAGATGAGTTTGTGACTAAAACTTTATCAAACGCTCGTAAACGCTCAAAGAAAGCTGTGGTTTTGTTCAGAAACTCTTGATAGTATGTTGATGCAGCATGTCAGTAAGAACTGAATTAGCTAATTGTACTCAAAAAGTTTTTTCATCCGTTTCCTTTCATGTTGTACACTATTGAATCATTTAGTAGATTAATTCAGATTCGTTGTATTCATTTTATGTCTTTTTTAACAAAAAGGGTAATGATATAATTTCAACAGTAAATGGAAAGAGATTGAAATTTGCTCGTAAATCACATTCGTTGAATGTGTTTTATGTCTTTTTTAGTGGAAGGGGTAATAACGTACTTTCATCAACAAATGGGAAGAGGCTGAAACTTACACATAAATCGCATTCGTTGGATGCGTTCTGTGCATTTCTTTCTCAGATGCGTATAAAATGAAAAAATAAGTATCTTTCTCGATAAGATAACAATAATAAATAATAGAAATAAATATGTTTTAGATATACTTGACAAATAAAATTAAACGGAATGGATAATAACGTAATTTCAATAATAAATGGAAAGAGACTGAAATTTACACATAAATCACATTCTTTGAATGCAATTTATGCTTTAATGGAAGGGGTAATAACATAATTTCATCAATAAATGGAAAAATACAAAAATTTACACATAAACCACATTCTTGGAATTTGTTTTATGTTCTTTGTTTCTCAACTTAATTTGTTGTGTATAAAATGATTTTTTTTTATATATATAACAAAAGTAATAAATAGAACAAGTAAATATGTTTTTAAAATATTAGACAAATTAAATTAACAGGAGTAATAACATCATTTTATCGACTTAAACTTACACATAAAGCGTATTCGTTGAATGCGTTTTATGTATTTCTTAAAAGAAGCGGTAATGACATAATTTTATCAATAAATGGGAAGACACTCAAATTTACACATAAATCACATTTGTTGGATGCATTTTATGTTTGTCTTTCTCAGATTAATTAATGTTGAGTACAAAATGAAAAACTAATTATCTTTTCTCGATTTAATATAAGTATTAAATAAAACAAATAAATATATTTCAAAATTTGTATAAAGTTTTAAATATTACAATTTAAATATAAATTTTGCTTATAAAATATATACTATATATATATATAAATATATATAAGGAATCACTACATAGGCCATAGCCCATGGAATATGTCATAATTTTTGTATTTTATTACGATAATCGGAAAACAATTATTTTAATATTTCTATTTAGCTATATATATATTTTTACTTGATATCATATTTAAAAAATATTATAAAGATAATTTTATTTGTTTAGCTAGTAGTAACACTAACCCCTGATATATTATGTTGTTGATATTTATGATAATATTTTTTTATTATAATTTAATTAAAAAATTCATAAAAATATTATTTTTAAAAAAAGAGTTGACCCTGCAAAGCCCGTAACCCACATACTTTTGGGCTGGACCGACTATATTCTGATTCGCACAAAAAATGAGTTAGGTCGAATTAGAATTTTGATAGGGGGACTTACATAAACATACTACAATACAAAAAATATTTATCATTTATATCAATAACATTTTTTTTTCACTTGATCACTTTTAATTCATTTATAATACAAGTTTAATAATTATTACAATGAACAATTTGCTATTCACATATAATACAAGTTTTAAAAATAGATAATACATTTATCACACATTTTAATACACTTATAATAGAATATGTCAAATTTTTACCAAACAAACGTAATATATTTCAAAATAACAATTATAATTCATATATATTGTATACATAATTCATTTTTAGTATATATTTGAAGATATAACATAATATTACTGTAAATGGTAATAAACAAAAAGTATACTAAAATATGTAATCATTTATTAAAATGTACTAATTTATGTAATTTTTTCATTTTGATACCTTAAGAATTTAAATATTTTTTAATTGAATTTTACGAAGATATAAAAAGTGAAAACAAAAGGATGGATATACTTTCCTTGAGAGAATATTCAATTCGTAAAAGCAATGGATTCGTGGGCCGGCCTTTTCGGGGCAGAAAATAAGCCCATATTAGAAGATGAAATTTTGACCCGTCCGATATATTCAACCCGGATTAAGACATTCAATGATTGATGGCGATGGCTGCCAATAAAAAAACAGGACAATCTTGGGTTTCTCAGTCCCCATTTCCCCATAACAACCAAGAAAAAGTTGAAGTGCTTCATCTTCTCAGTTCAATAATCAATTGGTGAAGTTGGATTGTGAGTATTTACATCATTTAGCTTATTTTATTGATTGGTGATGCAAATTAGCTGATCGTATGTAGAATTTTGTTATTTCAATGTTCAATAATCAATTTGGTTGTTATCCTTGTCACTTCCTGTTTTAAGTTCATTCAGTGATCATTTAATCAAGTTCCCTAAAATTTTTCATGCTTCTCTTGTTTGTTTGAGGCTTTATTTTCTCATGTTATCTCAACCACATAGACAGTAAACGTATTTCTAGAAACTTCCGATCATAGTCCTTAGCGCCCTCTATGGAAGAGCTAAAAGTCTGGCTATGAGAGCGAAAAACTAATACAATTATACAGTTTTGATGACCAGGAAAGTTAAAATGAAATCCAAGTAATAGTAGTTTTGGTTCTGTTGTAATCCATATTAATCGGTTTCATTCCGACAATCTTAGGTGGTTAGCTTGGGCGTTAATGGTATTTTATATTCATAATACATTGTCTAATGACAATCTTCCTTACTTGAATCATGATAAATTGATATTGTATATTGATTTTTATGGTTTACATTTGACTTCAAGATTAAATTCATGTATTTGGATTAATTATTGTGCAAGTATATCTCATATTCACATAACATGAACATAGGTATCTGTTTCTGTGTGGCAGATAATTGCTCTCCATGTCTGTTGAACGAACTTTCAAGAAGCTAGTTTCTGGTGTCATCCTTGATTTGGATGGTACACTTCTTAATACAGGTCAGTAGTACTCTTCGTGTTTTGACTTTACACTTCTCAAATTATATTCTTGGCCGTTCACCTAAATCATTCATGGTATTAGTTCTTGATATATGAACTACTACTTTTAATATTCAAAAGCATTTTCTAGAGTTCCTTTCATTTCCTTCCAACTTTTACATATCCAATAGAACTATGAAATTACCAGAATTTTTTGAATATTTGGATGCATATATTTACAATTTGATTTTTGTTACTGCTGTAATCTTTATTCTAAGTGTAGGTTATATCATTGCAGTATAATTGTTTTATCCTTTCAAATTTCTCTAATCAAACTCTATTGTCTGAGGACATACTTAATATGAGGTCTCTGTAAGCTTAGTGGGCCTGCAGCTATTTCGAAATTCGATTCCGAAACTTGAGAAGTACTCTGGCAATCAAGTCTCAAGTATGAACAACTTACAACTATGAAGTCCTCTTTATGCAAAAGAAATTTGGATCTAGGCATTCTGTTATAGAGTTAACTGCAGCACAGTGTCAATCCTTATATTACCAATGTCTTGCGTTTCTTTATAGTTTCAGGTTTCCAATGTTAATTTGATCTCTTTGTTCTGACAGATGGCATTGTGAGTGAGATTTTAAAGGTTTTCTTAGTTAAGTATGGAAAGCAATGGGATGGGAGAGAAGCTCCCCACATAGTAGGGAAAACCCCAACAGAAGCTGCTGCTGCCGTTGTTGAAGATTATGGGCTGCCACTGTCAAGAGATGAATTTCTTTCGCAATTTTACCCAATGCTGTCTGATCAGTAATAAACCAGCAAACATAGTTTCATTTCCTTTCTGTTTATTGATAAGGCTTATACAAACTGAAATTGAATAACCCATGGGAAGATTATTCGACTTAAAATATTAGTAGGCGGATTCTTTTCGTCATATCCTATTTATGGATGTTAAAGGATAAAGTTACAAATTAAAAACCTTCTGCTCTTTTATAGCTGGAGCATGGATGATAAATTGCAAGCGAGTTAGTAGATAAAAGAGTTGTGGACAACATAGTCCTGCAGTGTTTGTTCTGCTTAAAACCCTTACAAAAAAGTATGTAGGTACTGGATAGTAATTAATATTGTGGAGAATTACTAAACGGGGAACCACTCATTTTGTTCTCCAATTTAGAAAATGCAAATATTCTTGTTTCTTTCTTTCATTTATCTTCTTTGCTTTTGGTGATAAAAATAGATATCCAATGAAGAGCAAAGAAAAAAAGAGGCAAGCAAGAACGGAACAACTACATTAACTTATCAAAAAGAGATAACTACATTTTGTTTATTAGTTGATCATCTGTGTCTTGTATGTCAAACTTGTTTTTTAAAATTTAAATGGAGTGAATTTCCCTTTTTTTCTTTTGTTCATCTGTTTCATTTTGGGGTAGGGGGAGAGGAGGGGAAGGGGTAGAAGCTCTGGAAGGACTAAGAGTGATATACTCATCTATGGCCTTGTTGGTTTAAGGAAGATGATTTCATTCAATCTTGCTGAGAGTGGAAGCAATGTTGGATTGGTGTTACCTTTTTCTTTTCTTTGAGCTAGTAAAACTCTGATTATCTTTTGACTGTTTGCGAGATCTTGTGATGTACAATTATGTAACTTGTATATCTATTCTCTTCTGCATATACATTCCAGTTCAAAGTTCTTATAAAATTTTGTCAATCAATTTGGTATAGGTGGCGCAATATCAAAGCTCTTCCAGGGGCCAATCGATTGATTAACCATTTGAGCGGTCATGGTGTACCCATGGCATTGGCGTCAAATTCTTCTAAATCTAACATTGAGGCCAAAATTTTTCATCATGCAGGTAGAGTTCTAACATGTATTGCTAGAGAGGTATTTCTTTCCTTAGGAAGGTATTTTGTGCCAGTCCAGCATGTAAGATGGCATTTATGCTTGGTGCTTTGATTGGGATAGTCTTTATTTTTTTTCAGGATGGAAAGAGTCCTTCTCAGCTATTGTTGGAGGAGATGAAGTGAAAGCTGGAAAGCCGTCTCCGGAAATGTAAAACTTGATGAATTGATTATCTTTGTCCTCCACATTTCATAATCTGGTATTCTGGATGTTAAATTAACTTAATATCTTCTTTTGTAAGATTTCTTGAAGCAGCTAAAAGACTCAACATGGATCCATCCAGCTTTCTTGTCATTGAAGATTCAATGTGAGTTTTTATCTTCAAAACTTTTGTAGCGGTATGTAGGAAAATCTAACTACTGGTCAAAAGAAGAAAAAAAGAAATGTGCCTGTCGGCTAGATAAGCAGCATGGTTGACTCTAGCTACTAACTTGTGACATCATAATTTACAATTCGGAAAAGGGCCAAAAATACCCTTAGACTATTTGAAAAGGTTCAATGTTACCCCTCATCCACCTATTGGGTTAAAAATACCCCTCAATCCACCTATTTGGTTTGTTTCTACCCTTAAAACTAACAACCTTTTAAAAAAAATTATTATTATTATCACTTATTATTTTTCTTTTTTATTGGATAAATCAAATCCCAACCTATTTAATTTTTTCCTACCCACCCATTTTAGTGTCCATGACCCAAACTCAATTAGAAGAGTTAAAATAACTTGTCATTGCTTTTGCATTTTCTAGGCTGAATATGAACTTTTTTTCTCTCCCAAGAGCATATTATTTTGAATTGGATGTAAATTATTTTATCTCATAACTTAGTGAGAGTAACTCGACCAGATACATATGTTAGACCAGGTGTTACTGCTGGTAAAGATGCTGGAATGGCAGTAGTTGCTGTACCATCTCTTGCAAAGCAGTCTCATCTTTATACCTCTGCTGATGAAGTGATCAATTCTCTTCTAGATTTGCAACTAGAAAAGTGGGGACTACCTGCATTTCAAGATAGTAAGTCTTTATGACTGCTTTACTTGTATGACGTGTAGTCATGTACTTGATTTCTCTTCCAATTTTTGACTGGAAGCATATGCAGGGATAGAAGGTACTTTGCCTTTAGAACCTTGGTATATAGGTGGTCCTGTCATTAAGGGATTTGGGCGCGGCTCAAAGGTTCTCGGGATCCCCACAGGTATGCGGTCTTCTTTATTCCTTCTGCTGAATGGCTAAAATAAATGCTTGACTCGTTATCTGTGTATACTTGAAATGACTTGAGAATTTCTCAGAAGTTTGTTATTGGAATTTCAGTTTCTTGTGAGCCTGTCATATCAGAGATATTGATTTTTATGTCAAATTATTATCTGGATTCGAACTCCAATTGTTGGAGGGGCATGGAAGATTAGTATCTTGCCTCGTATGACTTAACAGTGATGTGTTTTTCTATTCTTATGGGGTCAATATTCTTTTCAGCTAATTTATCCCCACAAGGTTATTCAGCCATTCTTTCAGAACATCCAGCGGGTGTATATTTTGGATGGGCAGGACTATCAGGTCGAGGTGTCTACAAGATGGTCATGAGCATTGGTTGGAATCCTTTCTTCAACAATACAGAGAAGACGGTTGTAAGTGTGTCGTGACATATGTTTCTTCTGTATTCTTGACTTCTTTGGTGTTTGTTGAAAGACAACTTTACTTTTAGGAACCATGGTTGCTTCATGACTTCAATGAGGACTTCTATGGTGAGGAATTGCATCTAGTTGTTGTGGGCTACATACGGCCGGAGGTATTGTGGCCTAGTTACTCTTATTTTTCCCTTTCCTTTCTTACATCACTTGCTGATATTACTGTCTATTTGCAGGCCAACTTTTCGTCACTTGAAGCCTTGATAGCAAAAATTCACGAGGACAGGAAGATTGCAGAAAGAGCTCTCGAACTTCCTCAATACTTGAAGTACAAGGACGATCCATACCTTAAAAGTTCTCTGCATCAACAAAATTGATCATTGAAGTGTTGAAGTTCATTATTGTTCTGATTGGGATTGTATCTGTTTATTCTGTCCTAATTCCTCAGACTACAATAGTCTCCCCATCAAAATGCTCTATACAATAAAAAGATAAAAAGAATTTGAATGTATAGCTATTCAGAAGTTAAAGAACCTTCCAGGGGGTATTAGTGAATGGCAAAGGGTTCAAGTGCAGGATCTTTGTACTGAGAATTTCAAGTTCCTGTGTAAATGTTGATTAATGTAACTTGTTTTCTATCTGTTTATAATATGGAAACATGCAAGCTGATGCAGATTGTAAATTGCTTCCTTTTATTCATCCTTTTTGGTCCGGGAAATTTCATTGATTTTCACTTCGACTCTTGCAAACACCACATGCTTAAAAGATTATTAATCAAATAAGTGAAAATTATATGAGATAATAATTTAAAATTTTTCGTACAAATATAAATATTATTTAATTTCTTTTTTACATATTTCTATCTTTACTTAAGTAACATTAAATTAGTTGGGCAATAAAATGAACAAGTAAATTATCAAATAACTACGACACTAAGAAATAACAAGTTCTTGGTAAAATAATCGAAAAAATTGACTAAATAATAATAAGGTATTTAATAATTATACTGTGAGAAATAATAGATATAACACGTAGTTATAATTTTGACCATTTTGATTTTTAGCTAAGCTAAAACCGAAAAAAAACCCAACACTTGTTTTTGGCGCTAACACCGTTCACAGTGAATCCATGGGGGAAGAAGCTTCAGAGCAGCAGCTTGTTATAGAATCCATGGATGAAGATGCTGTAGAGCTACCGGAAACCCCTATTGAAGCTGTAGAAGAGAAACCATCGGAAGAACCTTACCCTTGGCCGGTTATTCAGTATGATGTTCCGCCGTATCTAACCTATCATTTCTTCAATCAGTTCAGGACGCCTTCAAACCCTAATAATTTCTTAAAGGGTGTCAAATGGTATGCTTTTCTCCTCTTTTTGATTCTCCATTTCTTATGCCGTGTTTTCTCTGTTTTTTCCCTATGTAGTCTAATGGCTATTTTTTTTTCCTGGAATTATAGGTCTCCTGATGGTTCTGGTTTCCTCACTTGCTCTGATGATAATACCTTTTGTTTATATAACTTGTAAGTTTCTTCCCAGTTTCTGATGATAAATGATAAATTTCTTTGTAGGAGCAAATTAGAAATATATGAATTCGAAGTCTCGAATAACTGTTAAGCTTATATGAGTAGCTTCTCTTGTAACTTTTTGGTGATTGGATCTGCTGGGATTAAAATTTATTGACAGATAGAGTTTCATTTAACTCTGCCTGTGTGATCTTAGCTTTCCGGTCAAAGCCTGGATATCGTGAGAAAGGTTGTGGTAGGTTGATAACTAGCATTAAAAATAGTCATGATATGATGAATCATCTAAACATAGAGGGGAATGGATATAGATAATTCATATAGACAGACTCAAGGAGTTTGTGATTGAGATACATTAATTCATTGACCAGATAGTGTTTGCTGGGCTGACTATGAGGCACAATGCTGATAGTAGAAAATGGTAGTTATTCTTGCATTTCCATTGTCCTTGAGTTGCTTTGTTAATTTGGCTCTGGTTCATTGATAGGCCATATGATGAAAGTGGACAGCTTGCTGATTTTTCCTCATCAGCTGCTGATACAGGTAATATATGCTACTAGTTTATATAGGTTTGAATGTGAAGTAACATTGTGGAAGTATGCTATAGTAGATTGCTTTCAGTGTTGGAATTTGTTGATCATGTGTGTTCAATATTGAACTTGATATGATTTTCTTTCTCCTGTTTTTGTTTATTTTGATTAAACACTGACTGTTTTTTTGCAGATTCGTATGCTGCAAGTCTTGTCATGAGTGACGGGGAGTCTGTATATGACTATTGCTGGTATCCCTATATGTCTTCTTCAAGTATGTCACTCGTCTTGTTATTTTGTTATAACGCTGATGGTGATTAGAAAAAAATAACTAGAATTTGCTTTAATGCCTTAGGTCCAGAGACATGTGTTTTTGCAAGTACTACCCGTGATCACCCTATTCATCTCTGGGATGCTACTACTGGACAGGTGTGTCATTGTCTTTAAAGCTGTTGCTAAAGATGCTTTTTCCTCTCACTGCTCTTTGAAAGGTGGCTAGCAGCCCACGACTTGTGACACTGCTCAATGAGCTTTGCTAGGAAGATATTCTTCCCTACATTATCTTTTCTTGGGTGATTGCAGTTACGTTGTACATACCGTGCTTATGATGCCATGGACGAGATCACTGCTGCCTTTTCAATTGCCTTCAATCCCGCAGGGACTAAGTAAACATTCTTCTTTATCAAAGTGCTCATCTCCTTCCTTGCTCTTGTGGTCACTGTTCATGTAGAGGCACCTGTTTCATCTTTCTTTAATATTTATTTGTAGTTTTTTAAAGAGAGGAAAAAATGAGTTCTTTTGATTTATTGAGAAAGTAATCTATCCATAATTTCTGGCAGTGTGATTAGATTGACAGTAATGAGGCCTAGTTGTTAATTTAGGTGGTTGCAAGTTTTGATACTCTGTCCTCACAAAGGATCATTTTCCTATTTTGTTTTTTCATTATATTGTTTAGACTTAAAGACATGCATTTTCAGTTTTTCTTCTAGTATCTTCTTACTTCATATGCTCTATACTAACTTCTTATGTGTTATTGTGATTTGCTTCACTTTCTTTATTTATGTACTTACAGTTGTTAATATGCTAAGTTTAAACGAAAGTTTTCATTGTTACTTCATTCTTCTCGAATTAGGATATTTGCTGGTTACAACAAATCCATAAGAATATTTGATATTCATCGGCCTGGCAGAGATTTTACCCAGCACTCCACCCTTCAAGGAAATAAAGAAGGGCAATCAGGTATGTTCAGCTAGCTGCTTTTCTTTATGATCACGTTTTTAGCATTTGACTTTATAAATAAGACAATTAGCTAACAATATCTGTGTTAAACACATCAATCTGATAGTTATCTCAAAGAGAAACTATTAAGTCCTCTTGAGGCTAATTAATTTTACCACTTTTGATGCCTCCATTATTATTCATTAAACATTTATTACTCTGGCACCTTTTCTCTAATCTGTTAAGGCATTATTCCTCATTTATTATTCCAACTCCTTTTCTCTTATCTGTTAGGAATTATATCCTCAATGGCTTTCTGTCCAAGCCATTCAGGGTTATTGGCAACTGGCTCATATAGCCAAACTACTGCCATACATAGGGAAGATAACATGGAACTTCTCTATGTCTTGCATGGTCAAGAAGGTGGGGTTACACATGTAAGTTGGCCGAGCTATCATTCGTATTTTTTTTACTATACTGTACTCAGATACTTCAAATGATTCATCAACCGTTAACATATTCACTTATTAGGTCCAATTCTCAAAAGACGGAAACTACTTGTACACTGGTGGCCGGAAGGTTAGAACGATGATACATTACTGTTCATTACTTTCAATGCCTATTTATCATTGAATTGTACTGTTATTTGGTCCTTCCTTTGCAAAGAGAATGCTGGATCTATAATTTCGTCATATCCGTCACAGATAATGGAGAGGTGCACTTGCCACCTCAAACAGTTTCTGATTTTCTAAGCTCTAACAGATAAGAAACCAGAATGAATAGACAGTCAAAACAAGGGAACACAGAGCATTATACATTTGAGTCGATTTCATTTTCCTGTGCTAGCTTTTAATTCTGAGTTTTCTTATTTGGTTGGGATAGGGTTGGGACAGTGGAACCCAGGATCTGTTTCAGTGCTAAGTAGGAGTGGTAATCGAGCGAGTCGAGTCGAATATGAGTCGATCAAAAAACGAGTTAAATAAAAATGGGTAAGTTACCTGACTCGCCTCATATTTTAAATGGGTAAAAACGAGTTACCCATTGGATAATATGGGTAACCATATTTACCCATATTGTATTAGAGATTTTTTTTTTAATGACTTCACTCCACCCCTACCAGTCCCCGGCCACCCCCACAAACCACCCACCCACCCCACCCTAAAAAAATTAACAAAATTTAAAAAAAAATCATTAATTTTTTTTAAAAAAATTATTACCCCACCCCCTAAAAGCCCCCTCCACAACCCCATCCAAAAAAAGTTTAACCCCCCCCCCCCCAACACCCCATCCCAAAAAGAAATTAACAATTTTTTCCTTAATACTTTAATTTTTTTTTGAAAAAAATTACCACCCCACCCCCTACCACTACCAACCCCTATCCATAATTAAATGTAAAAAAAAGTTTCATTTTTTTTATAGATTTTTTTTTTTAAAACTTTCTTACTACCCAACCCTTTATCACTTTTTTCTTTTTTTGCTTCTATCCATTTGACTACCCATTTTTAAATGGGTAATATGGGTATTACTCGTTTTTTACCCATTTTTTAAATGAGTTGGATACTCAATTCATTTAGAATGGGTAATATGAATGGATACCCAATTCATTTAAAATGTGTAATATGAATGGATACCCATATTATTTACCTATTTTGCCACCCCTAGTGCTATGAAATTGACTAAAAGTAGAACAGAAATATCTTTGGCTTAACAAAGTAATACATAAATCACTGTATCTTCCTTAATTTTTTCGAGCAAGTCTTTGAGCTTGGGACTTCCATGTTGGAGGTCTCAAGTTCGAAACCCCTTGTCAGCGAAAGCAAGGGGTTTGCCTTCTGGGTCGAGCAAGCTTGGTGCGGTTTACCTCTCCTATGTGGTTTGCGAGGTATTGCATAGGAGGAGGGGTTTTACCCTGTGCGCACCCAAAGGGTAGCAGCTGCGGGTTTCCCTTGTCGTCAACAAAATAATATAAAACGATTCTGCACTGGAAAAAGACAATCAAGAATAGCTCAAGGTCGATTACTGATCAATGATTTTGCAAAATTATTAAAAGTTCAGTTACCTTTTTCAACTATGCCCTAGTAAAAGTATAATATTACAATCTCATTAACTTTTTTTTGCAAATTATTACTAAACAGAGAAATGCTTTCCTCACGATCAATGTTAATGGAAGAGATTATTCATCAATATTTAATGGTAACCATATTTCAGACTTGGATTCCTGTTTATTAATGATCCTAGCACCTTCTCTTCTTTTACCTTTGTTTATCCTTTAATTTTTCTCCTATTCTATTAAGGGTTAGATGAGGTGAGATCAGGAAAGCAGTTTATGACTTTAGTGTTACCATAGAATTAGTGCCAGAAGATGTTTATGGGGAGATGCAGAACAAAGTTGGCGAGCATTTGAAGTTCATTTATTTTTCACCCGTTCCTCCAAACCCACTACATTAGCCTTATAGGATACCTATAAATGAACTCTGAACAGCCTTGAATCCAGTCGAATGTATAATTGACCACTTGGCCTCATAAAGAGGTTTAAAATATACTTTAACATCTCTACCAACTCGAAAGGCTCAAGTATCAATCTTTTCAATTTCTATCTTGACATTTTAGTGTATAGTTTGTAAACTTGAGTAATAATTTTAAAATAAGATCTGTTTTCATTTCCTTCATCCAAAGAAATATAAACTTTGTGCCCGTTCCTCTGTAAGGCATGCTTGCTACTTGTTGATTTCCTTCACTTTTCTATTTATGATCTAAAATTTGACCCTTTCTTCTTCGGACTCAATTCTTGTCTATTGTCACGTGTATGCTAGTATCCTGTCATGCATGCATGTTGTGTTAAACATATGTTTGACCAAGTTCATCTCAAACTTCTTTTAGGACCCTTACATACTGTGCTGGGACATTCGGAAGACTGCTGAAATTGTTTACAAGTAAGTTTCTTTTTACTGATTGGACACTTGACTTGGGGAACTGGAGCATTGGAATGATTGTCTTGATAACTCTGTTTTTGTTCAGTAAAGAAGCTAATGAGATGCATCCCTCTTCCAAATTAATTGCATTTTACAAGTCGGAGACGTCTCACACTCCTGCTAGAAATGTGAATTGTTTAGCAGTTACTTTGTCCTATAAAATAACACTATATATGTTCACATGATTTTTTTTCCTGGAAAGTAACTTTCATAGTCTATATTCACAGTTTTTTGAATTATCCATGTCGAAAATAACAATTTGCATGAATTAAGTAATTTGCTATGCACAACGATAACTTTTGTAAGTTTGAATTTATTATGACCTAGTGCTTCAGTGATCAACTAAAGTTCCCCTTTTGGCTTCATTTAATTAGGATGTACAGATCATCAGAAACTACCAATCAGCGGATATATTTTGATATTGAACCTCGAGGTCAGCATCTCGGCTCCGGAGGACAGGTAATGTTTTGCTTAGCTCAAAATTACATTCCTTGTCAGAATGAAATACAAGATCTTATCTTCCATTCTTGTTCGTCTCTCTAGGATGGCTCAGTTCACATTTATAATCTTCAAACCGGACAGTGGGTATCCAGCTTCCGAGCTGCATCAGGTATTTCGTTGTGTTCATTGAAGAATAAGTTGGGAGAAGGTCCACCTAGTTTCCTTTATTTCTTACTCAGTGTATCCTGTTACAGACACGGTTAATGGCTTTTCATTTCATCCTTTCCTGCCGATGGCTGCCTCTTCATCAGGCCAACGGAGATTTGGAGTTATAGATGACTCCCACGAGGATATGCTCCTTACAGGTAAATTCGTTCAACCTACATTGTTTGAATAATTCCCAAGTACTGTGAATTAAAGCTTTTGTAGTTGTCTGGAGTCAATTATTTTCAATGTTCATTTCATATCTTCTCCTTCTATGCTTTGTTCTGTCAATTCCTCATTCCCATTTGCCTTTTTAGGAAAACAAATTTGTTGCCATACTTCTTAGTCCTATTTCCTTCCATTCCTTAACACTAAAATGCTTAAATCATCTTCTTTGTCAAGTCAAGCATCACATTTTTTCTACAAAATGACCTTTTAAGATGAAAAGTTCTTAAAATATGGTTGTGTTTTCCTTGTTTAGGTGATGAAAATTGTGTTTCTGTGTGGAGCTTCGCCTATTCAGCATCTGTAGAAAATGATGTTAGTCCCATTTCCGGGGTCTCAAATGGTAAATCTGAGCTCGATGAGGACCTTCACGTTCTTCAAGAACCTTGATCCATTTAGGGACTTGTGTATAAACTTATCGTTGCATGGGCTAACATCACCTCCATTTACCACAACTAATCCATGCTTAACAAACTCTATTTATGAATGTATGCACATTAGCTCTGCTGCTTTAAATATTCTTCCAGTTGTTTTATTAGCTCATAGATGTTACTTTCTGTATTTGCCTCATTTGAACTTATTTTACCAGTTTTGATAGATGTGACAACTGAAGAATAGGTTGGATAGCTTAAATTATGCAAGAAGAAATTTACTACATGCAAGTTCTATAGAATATATATTTCTCAATGCTTCTTGTGACTTGTAGTAATAGATGATTCGTCTATAAAAATACATCTTTCAATATTATATCATGTTAATTGTTTCAGGCTAAGTGTAGATTCTGAGCAATACTCCATAAAACTCGTAATTAATCAATGTAAATAATTGAATTAGGAATCTTTGTTTGATTTTAATCTATTATATAATGATTTAATAGGTTTATCTGATCTTTGGATTATTGCATACAATGTTTTAAAAGACTCTTCTGGGACTCGCTTCGAGGCTCGCCCTGGGGCGGGGCTCTAGCAAAACGTCTTGAGACTTAAGTTTGGGACTTAGTTCTGCGAGACTTACGCCCTAAGCGCCCGACTGTACGCCCTAAGCACGCTCAACGCCCGGGACTCGCCTAGCAAATCTTATTCAAATTATGTGTTGAAATCTTTAATTAACATTGTTGATCCTCATAATTCTTGAATAAACGAATGATACACAATTTTTTAATCTATAAAAGATAACAAGATCGAGAGTAACCTAAACAAAAAATATAGTATCACATATTTACTATTTGGTAACTTTGAAGGTAATTATATATTACTAAGATTTCTCTTAAAAATAGTAGCGAAATTTTACTTGTTCACTTATCATTGGTCTTTATGGTTTTGTCATATGTCTCAAAATTATCATATTTTATTTAATTATTTGAAAGTAATTTTATTTTTATTCATGAAACAGTGATGTTTATACTATAATACTTGTAAGTTTATTGATTATTTTCTTTTAGGGCTTTGGGGAAGGGGGAGGGGATGAATTGTATAGTACGATAGAAATAATGATTCTTTTATTATTAAAAAGTTAAGATATTAGATAATTTATATTTGTATAGTTATGTTTTATTGTTATTGGTGTAATGATATTTCACAAATAGTAATTATGATACTTTTTTTCTTTATTATAGATTATATATTATAGGTTTTTAATAAAAAATTATATGTAAAATCATTGAAAGAAATTTAATTAGTAATAAAACTATAAAATTAAATATACATGAGAGTACGCCCCATAATTCCATGGAACTTATGCTCCGTATCTCGGAGTTTACGCCTCGCCCAATACTATATAAAACGCCTCATTTCACGCCCTCGCCTTTTAAAACACCGTTGCATAGCTTGAATAATTGGAATATATAATATCCTTTTATTAGGATTTACTAAAGTTTCAAATAGTTTTTAAATTTTCTTTTTTCAAAAAAGAACTATTGAGAGAAAATCAACATACTATTTGTTGTCTAGACAGAGTTACTACTATTACATATGCCTTTTATTTGTGTATTGGTTTCCATACAAGTTATGTTAAATGCATATTAGAGAACTTAATAATGTAACCAAATGCTTTATCAATACTAAAAAAAAAGTGGTATAAAAGCTCAGCTACATTATTAGTTATAGAGTTATTAATAATATAAGTATTTTTACCTTCTGAAGAAAAAGTATTATCGGAGATTATATGAAATATTATGTTAAAATTATTTTTTATTATATAGTCAGAGCTCATAAAAAATTTATTTTATTTTTGGTTCATATGTCAAATCATGTGAATTTTACATTTTTGGTCCTTGTGAATTAATTTTGAAGAAATTTTGAAGGAATGAAATTCGTATTACGATAAAATTTAAAATTTGAACAAACTAATAATAACAAATAGCTTTTATTAAACTATATTTTTCTTTTATGTTATTTTAATATTTTGTATTAAACTATAAAATTACTTATTTTTTGGATTTTGAATCCAAGAAAAATTTCAGCAGATCCTTTAATGTAATTATGAATGAATAAAATTCATATTACATATAACTTTTATCAAATTATATTTATCTTTTATATTATTTTAAAGTTTTGTAGTAAACTATAAAATTTATTTATTTTGGGTTTTGAATCCAATTTTTTTTCATCAGATCCTTTTTAATTAATTTTGAATGAATGAAACTCATATTACATTCAAATTTCAAATTTGAAAGAACTAATAATAGCAAATAACTTTTATTGAACTATATTTGTCTTTATGTTATTTTAAAATTTTGTATTAAACTATAAAATTTATTTATTTTTTGGGTTCTGAATCCAAGAAAATTTCATCAGACTCTGATTAATTAATTTTGAATAAATTAAACTCATATTACATTCAAATTTCAAATTTGAAAGAACTAATAATAGCAAATAACTTTTATTAAATTATATTTGTCTTTTATGTTATTTTATAATTTTGTCTTGAACTATAAAATTTATTTATTTTTGGATTCTGAATCCAATTTTTCTTCTCATCAGATCCTTTTTAATTAATTTTGAATGAACAAAACTCATATTACATTTAAATTTCAAAGAAGTAATAATAACAATTGACTTTTCTGAATTATTTTTATCTTTTCTATCATTTTAAAATTTGGTGAGTATCAAACTGTAAAATATATTTATTTTTGGATACTGAATCCAAGAAAAATGTCATTCAACATAAATTTTATTCTTTTATTTAAAAATATAGTTTGCACTATAAATGCAATTTGATTGTATTTTTATTTACTTGCCAAAGTCAAAGTATTTTAAACAAGTTGAATGCATTTGCATTTAATTTCTCTTACTATCTTTACAATTCTCACTCTATAAATATAAAGTTTCTCTTCCATTCTCATGCCTTTCGATTAATACTTTCTCTTTAATACATACTGTCATCTTCTGTCATATTATTTAGTTATCTTCTGTCATATTATTTTTCTTTTAATTTAGAAGAAAAATAATGACGAAAGCTTCAGGATCAAAAAGAAAACGTCAGTCGAATCATTCTGTTTATCTTCCTAATCATATAATTGATAGGATTTTTACCTTTTTACCTATTAAGGATGTTGTTTCTTATTCTGCTGTAGCTATTCCATTTTTAAATACATGGATGTATGCCCGTAATCTGCGTTTTGATAGTTTATTTAAGAGCAATTGTGTTACGAAAGATATCTCAATAATCAATAAAATCTTACATAGTCATTTAGGCAAGAAAATTTACAATTTTCATTTGTACATTCCTTCACCAAAAGACTACTCATTTTTTCTTAAGGATTGGATTCAAATTCTTGCATCAAAAGGCCTAGAAGAGCTTGAGATAGATCTATGGTTTACATCTAATGATAAAAATACTTACTATATGGATTCTGATTTTATTGATCATATTGAAACTCTTAGAAGGGTAAAATTAACTAATTGTGAGTTGCGTATATCGCCAAATTTAAAAAGCTTACGATTTTTAAAATCGCTTAGTCTAACTAAGGCCCCAATCACACCTCATTTTATTCAAGAGTTATTTAGAAATTGTGTGGTTCTTGAGTCTCTGTCATTGGTTTTTTGTTCTTCTACTACTAATGTTATAATCAAAGGTTCAAAACAACTTAGAACTATTTTGATTAGAGCTTGTGGTAAAATTTGTTTGATCATTATTGATGATCCCAATATTCACACTTTTCATTATGAGGGTGAAATTGACAAAATCAAGTTGATTGGTCCAACAAAATTAGAAGATGTGATATTCAATTTCAATACTATTACATGGGTTCAACATATAAGTGGAATGGGTAATTTGATTGATATCTTAAGAAATGTGCAAACTCTTACAATTAACAATATTTTTCTTGAGGTAATGTAATGATTTAATTTTAATTTTTTTGAGTTTTAGTTTTATATATTGACAATGTAAATATTTTATTTTACGTTTATATTTTTATTTAGGGAATTTCTCCTAGATATGAGGATTTTGAATATAAAGATATGGAGCTTTATCTTCCAAATCTAAAGGAGCTACAAATTGTGCTACATGGATCAACCTATGTGAACCCATGGGACATTATTTCCTTTGTCAAGAATTGTCCCCAAATTGAAAGACTCTTTATCAATGTAAGTATAAAAAAAATTGAATTTTTAAAAGTATTTTCTTTTTACTATTTTTAATTATATATGAAGTAATTAATAATTAATTTAAATTATATAGTTAGGTGATTATTATGCAATGGAAGGAGGAAGTTATTGGAATTTTGTGGCAAAGGAAAAATTCGAGAATTGCCAAGTAGGATTTTCCAAGCTGAAGCTCTTAAAAGTGAAAGGATACAAGAAAGGGGAGTTGGAAGAGAAATTGGTGAATTTCATTATGATGCGGGCAAAGATGATGGAGTCTTTGATTTTAGTTTCAAAGAATAAACATTTAGAAATTAGGTCGAAAGATATTGTTACGGTCTCAAAGCTAGTTACTATTTCTACGTATTATAATAATAGGGACAAAAGCTCTGTATTTCCTAAACATACAATTTTATCAATGCAGAATTAGAAAAAGAAAAAAAAATCATAGGAAAAGAGTTGGAGAAGAGTGAAGACATGTATTTTCTAAGAATTACAAAAGAATATTAGTTATTATATTTATTTCCTATTTTGTTCATCAGTTATAATAATGCAATGTTGTTTTGGTTGGAGAATATATATTTATTGCTGATTTTAAGTAGTATTTATAATGTTGAATTTTAATTTATGTTTTTTTCTATTATAGTCAAATATAAATTTTGATCAGTATTTTATAAGTTACTTTATATAAATACATTATACTATATTTAGGACTTCTCGGTTTTTAATATATATTGGTCTTTTATCATATTTTTAAAACTCCTTAATTATTAATTTTCCTAATACATTTTATCATATATTTTTGTTCTCTTTAATAATTAATTGTCCTAATACCTCTTACCATATATTTTTTCATCTTACAATATATTTTAAGACTCCTTAATATTTAAAATCTATTTTCTTCTTACCATATATTTTAAGGATTGTTTAATGATTAGTTTTCTTAATATTTCTTACCATACAATTTCAGACTCTTTGATTTTAAATTTTATAAAAATATTAATACGCCCATTCATAAAAGAATATACCTAATATAATATTTATTTATCTTAGTCTTCATCATATATATATAAGATATCGAGACACG